TATGTTAAAATGACTTTTTTTATATGTTAAAAAAAAATCTGAAGAATATATTTTAAAAAATATATTTTTAAAAATATATTTTTTTAAAATATATTCTTCAGATTTTTTTTTCTTAACCTATGAAAAAGTCATTTTAACATATATTTTTTCATATATTTGTAAATTGTAAATGCATCCCAAAAATGTAGATTTGTATTTTTAAAATAATTTTGTCATATATTTTGTAATAAAAACGGATTTCAAAATGCAGTGTGTGTGTGTGTATATATACGTGTGTATAATATATATATATATATATATATATATATATATATATATATATATATATATATATATATATATATATATATATTTTTAATGTTTGTTTTTTTTTAATATGGCCAAAATTGTAGCATTTCAAATATATGTCAATATATTTGGGAAGAATATTTTTTAAAATATAAAATGTGAGCAGTCAGGATATTGTAACCTGACAGTGGGACCTGCTGCTCACCAAATTCACTGATCAGCTCATTTGCTGCAAGTGCTGATTGAGTAAAGTGTTCAAGCATATCCCTCAAATGATCGACTTTTGTCATGCAAGAGCAACCCACACAGATCGAAATTCAGCAGGGACTGGCCAAATTCCATTCATTGTATGGCCAGCTTAAGATTTAGATGCTATGGGGGCCAGGTTTAAAGTTAGCCTATTGCTTCAGCCTGCAGATTGATATCTGTGGAAGGCCTTTTTTTCAAAATCAGCTAATACAGTTAGTTTACAATGTGGACAACATAACTAACTTACCATACATGTAAATGTGTTTATCTTCAGAATTAGCTGGGACGTATTTTCTCATGAGATTTCAAACAGATTTTTTTGAGGCTTGCTATGAAATACGTGCAGTATACATGGCAGTATGGGACTGTAACAATATTGTATTTGTTTGATGCATTTTAAATGAAGAGAGGCAATACTACATGTTATTATAAACTTTTTTCCTGATACTGACCATAGTTTGAATTTTCTTGCAGGTGAAGCAGATTGTGGCAGATCCAATGCTGAGCTCATTAGATTCCCTGATAAATGAAGTTACCGAGGTATTGTTTATACATTTTCTCCTAAATTATGCTGAAATAATTATAGTGGATTACTATACACAGAAAATAAGTGTAGTCTGTTATGCAGGCCATACATGGGTCGAATTCCGAACAAATTTTTTTTAGGAAATCAGAATTTTCGTGTGTTTTGTAATCTGATGGTGCCACCATTGATTTCGAAATTCAGCTAACCAAGCCTTCAATTTCACCTCATGTTGCTACAGAAAAGAATTTTTGTGGCTAAGAATTTTTTTTCCTTTCCTGGTCACAGCTCAGGCTTATTTATTTTTAATTTAGGTTTTTCCGGATGATTCTCCCATCATTGATTAAAAATTTGTTCATTTTTCAAAAAATTTTCAACATGCCCAATCACTCAGATTCAATGGTTACACGAAAATCTGCCATTTCTGTGGTCCACTAATGGTGCGAAATTTAAACGAAGATTCTTAGAAAAGATTTTCGAAAGAAAATTCTGTCGGAATTCAACCCATGTATGGCCAGCTTTATTCAATCTTCCGTAATGATTACTTCCTGCTAGCTTTGTAAAGGTGTGTGATTTTGAGTTCCCTGCACCTGGCTTTGTCATTATCCATTTGTCTACCGGCACTTTTACTCTTTAAGCACAGGCCAATTTTCAGCTTTCAGTGCTGTTGCTCTTTGAATGACAATTGCGCGGGCACGCAACATTGTACCCATATGAAAATTTTATAATTGTTTTCACACAAATAGCGCTTTCTTTTGGTGGTATTTAATCACCACTGGGGTTTTTATTTTTTGCACTATAAACAAAAAAAAGTGTTTTCTTTGTTTCTATTATAAAATTTTGCATATGGGTAATTTTTTTTCCACTGATGTGAGTTGATGAGGCTGCACGGATAGGCAGCACTGATGGGTACTGATAGGCTGCACTGATGAGGTGGCACTGGTGGGCATTGATGAGGAGACACTGATGATGGGCATTGGTGGGCGGCACTGATCATCAGTGCGGATGTCCTCTGTGACATTTGTCGGTTATCGGCAGTACTTTTCTCATGCTGTGACATTGTGAGGAAAGTGCTGCTGATGACCAGCAACTGTTTTTACTTTGTGATCTGCTGTGTCTTTGGACACAGCTGATCACGTGGTAAAAAGCTGCTGTGATTGGCCTTTTACCTAGTCATGGGATCAGCTGTGTCCGTAGGACTCGGTGATCACTGGCCGCTCCGGGTGCGTGCCTCTGGAGGCGCGTTCTGGGAGGACATCATATATGACGCCCTCCCAGACCTGGACAACTGCACTGTAGCCATCATTTGGCTATAGTGCGGTTGTAAAGTGGTTAAAATTAGATGTATTTTGGTTTCACATCAAATGCCAGCTCTGAATCCAGTTAACACTGAACCTGCCAACTTTAGCAGAGTCTGTAAAAATTTAAAAGGTTACAAACAAAATTGAAGACCAGTAAAGTAATTAACTAAATTTACATTCAAGAACCCTGTATGCATATTTGTCTTCCTATTACCAGTACTGGGTTCTTGCACACATTACACTCTTAAGTCCCTTATGACACCTCCTTCTCTGCTTTTTATTTATTGTTTTACTCTGCTGTCTTTTCAGTTTTACACTGTGCTCTTGAGTGTCTATGTTTTGCTTTATCTCTACTCCACCACTTTTCTGTCCATTCTTACCTTGCACACTGTGGGAGAGATTTACTAAAATCTTGTGTAGCTCTGCAGAGAAAACCAGTCAGCTTCCAGGTGTTATTGGCTTAACCCCTTGGCACCGTCGCCTCCTGGCCCTTTAAGGGTTTCAGGAGGCGGGGTGGGGTTTAGGGTCATGTGACACTCCGTCACAGTGGTCACATGATCAAGAAAGGTCCCGATCGGGACCTTTCCGTGAGTACCGGAAATGTGTGCTGGGAGCGCGCAGGGCGCACGCTTTCAGCACATATGCATATTTTTTAATAGAACGCAAATGTGCGGCTTCTCTGCGACTAGTCCCAGACGCTGGGAGGCAACACATTTGTGTCTGGCCGATGTGAAGAGGTTAATTGAACAAGCTGAAGTTAGAAGCTGATTGGCTAGCATGCATAGCTGCTCCAGATTCTCCAGGGTGCTTCAGCTTTAGTAAATCTCCCCCTATGAGTTCTTTGTGCCCACTCTCTTGCATGATGTACAACGTGACATTGATAGCATTGTGAAATTGTAATAATAGCAATCAGTGGAATTTTTGTAGAGCATGTTGTTTGACTGGGAATACAGTGGGTGTGGCCAGGCTGTTTAACAATAGAATTGGCTTTAAGTGTAGTTCCACTTTTGCAGTCAAATTTGAAAAAAAAAAACCACTATGTAATTATTTTTTTCACAGCATGCCTATATTTATTTACTTATTTTTTTTTCTTAATATTTCTTCGCTTTCTAGTTGTTTTTTTGCACCTTTGGGCAGACTGCAAAGTACATTGAACATATTGAAAGTAGAGTGACAAAGTGGGGACTGTCTAATTTTCTCCTCGTTATCATACACTTCAGAACTCAAGTCCTGAGATTTTTCAACCTTTCTTAGGACAGACAGTGTTCAATGAGATCTGCCATCACAGGACAGACAGTGTTAATTATGGTAAACATTACCTTTCCCGCCCATTTTTCATCATTACATGGCAGAAGAAATCTTCTGTTTTGGAGTTTTCAGAAAATGGAAAGTAAAGTATGCAGCTTTTTTTATATGTTGCTGTGTGAATGGGAATATATAACAAATATAAGGTAGGTGTTATCCCAGTTTGGCTGCACAAGTGGAAATACGCTTCAAAAGGGTTAATAAATGTGCCTATTTACTGTATACACTGCACAAGTTTAATAGTCTTTGAACCTATAGAACATGTTACAGTATCACAGACATGTATAAACCTCTGGACACAGGATTATTTTTAAAGATTGAAATTCTCCCATTACATATGCTTTTGTAATGTAGTTAGTGATTACTTGGCAACCAGCAAGACCATGTTTATTTGGTTAAAGCATAAGTTCACCTTTGGGAACATGTTACATGTTCCACCCGTTTTTAGGGTGGAACATGTAACATGTTCCCATAGCCGCAGCCACGCCCGCTAACCCCCCCTCCCTCTGACATATATCACGGGATGAAATTTTCCCGTACTATTGAAAACAGCGTGGTCTTGTGGGGCTCTGCCCACATGGCCGCATCACTCATTCACAGAGTTCTGTGAATGAGTGCCTACAAGTCCCAGCAGCCTTAGCGGCTGACGGCTTTTAGTTTTCAGTGAATTACCACGGTGCTGTGGAGCGCCGTGGTAGTTCATTGAAGCTTCCTGTCAGAATATCTGCTTGACCTTACATCCCGTACGGTAAGCAGGAGACCTGCATAGCATCAGTGATCTACTGATCGATGGTGCAAGGCTTTCTAGGCTCTTTTGGACAAAAATAATAAATACACATTTTTTTACCTGCAAAAAAAAATGTGCATTTATTATATTCTCCAAAAGGTGAACTTATCCTTTAAGCGTATGTAATGTACAGTTCAGGAGTGTGCAGAACAGGGGTCCGCTTTGGAAGACTCCCCTCATTTTCGGTACCAAAAACACTCGACCTTTCACCTTTAACACATGGCATGCGCTTACCTTTCCCCCATCATTTCTTATGATCAGAATTAAACAGTGCTTTTTAATATGCAATACTGTATACTATATATTCTATACTTCTATATCCTGCACACAATTCTGTACTCTACAATGCTGAGCTCTGTACACTGCTCACCGCATCACTCTATAAAATGTTCTTTACTCCACACCCATCCTTTGTAAATACTCTGCTGTACAATATAAACTCTGCCACTTTTATTAGTCTGTTCCTTAATACATGTCAGAAAGTGATATTTTATTGTACATTGTCAAGTACATTATACATGTCCAGTGTGTGTTTTTTTTCTGTAGGGAAATCCCAATGCAGACCTGTATTATAAAACATTCAGTGATCCACTGTACGTAGCAATGTTTAAGATGCTCAGAGATACACTGTATAACATGAAAGGTAAGTGTTTATTCCTGATATACATTGTCTGATTTTTTTTTTTTTTTTTTTACGCAGAAAGGAATATATTTGGTGCTTGTTTAAAATGTTATGGGTTTGACAAAAAAAGCAAGCTAATTTAATCTACTTTTGCACTACTTTCAGACCACTATTAAGTAATAAAATAAATTTGAATTGATTTCTATCTGTGTTGTGGAAACTGTATTCTGTATATGGCTGTCATATACTATATGTAAATATGTTAGTAAGCAGTCCTTAACCACTTCCTGTCCGGACACTTTTACCCCCTTCCTGTCCAGGGCAATTTTTAGCTTTCAGCGCTATCACACTTTGAATGACAATTGCGCGGTCATGCAATACTGTACCCATATGAATTTTTTGCCATTTTTTTGAGATAGATAAATCTTTATTTTGGTGGTATTTATTCACCGCTGGGATTTTTATTTTTTTTTACTATGTAAATGAAAAAGTTCAAAAATTTTGAAAAAAAGTGTTTTTTTTAAATAAAATTTTGCAAATAAATAATATTTCATCATAAATCTTAGCCAAAATTTATTCCGTTATTTTTTTAGTAAAAAAAAAAAAAAAATCCAAATTAGTTTATAACCAAAAATTATAATTTTTAAACATTTTTTTTTACATTTTATTTTATTTTTTTTATATTATATTATTTTTTATTTTTATTTTATTTTTACATACTGTCACCCTAGCAGTACACTGTCACCATGGTGACACTGTACTACTTGTGGAGGGTGATGAAGATTTTTTTTTTTTTTTTTTTACACTGATTGCTTTTATACCCATATAGGATGTAAAAGCAATCATTTCTCTTTCTCTCTGTCTGCATTCTTGCAGTCATTGAGAATTACTGAGTGAGCTGTGATCATTCACAGATTTCACACATAGTAAGCAATGATGTCACAAGTGACATCTTGCTTACTACTTTGCATTTGATCACTGATTCGCCAATCAGTGATCACATGATCGGGACCTCGTACAGAGGTCCCGTCCGACGATCGGTGTTTCACTGTGTCCGGAGGACACAGCGGGCACCGGATCGCGGTGGTGCGCGCTCCCAGGGAGTGTGCACAGCTAGAAAAGGCGGGTGCCGTTTATGAATGGCAACCCGACCCTGGACTGCCACCGCCCTGCCGTTTATAAACAGCAGGCGGACGGCAAGAGGTTAATGTGTGTTAGGATTGTGGCTGTTTAATACACAGTTACTCAAACTGAAATTACTGAAACTGGAAGCCGCCTTTTTTTTTTTCTTGTTTGCTCTCCATTTACTTCTACCCTTCATTAAATCACTACACTTAGAACTCAACTGAAAGAATTAGCTCTTTATAAAGTGGAAAAGAAACTCACCTTGCATACTATGAATGGGGCAGCAAAGCCCACACAATTCAAGCACAGGTGTTGAGAGAAGACACAGCAACAAAAACTGTTTATATCACTAAAGGTCCTAAAGGTGACCAACACTATGACTCTGACAAGATATTCTGCTATTAATATACCCATATTTATAACCTTAACAACCCTATAGTCAAGTCAATGGTACACTTCTGCCTAATATTAAAGTGTTACTAAACCCACAACAGTAAAATCAGTCTGTATATGCAGTAAAGTATGCTTGTTATAGACACTGTGGAACCTAAGGGGTTAATCCTCCGTATTGTGTAACAAGGCTGTTTGATCCTGTCTTCTCTGATCCTCCCCTTCTTTTACTGTCCCCACTTCATCTGCCATAGTACAGAGCACCAGTGGCAAGTCTGCACATGCTGTTTGGTGTGTATTGCTAGAGACTTTTTTTTTTTCTATGGGAGGGTGCATGTGATTGGCACAAGGCCAATCAGTGCTGTCTGGACAGAGGGTCAAGGGTCATGCAGCCTCATTGGACAGTCAGAGGAGAATGAAAACTCCTCCTACACGTTTAGTGTACAGCCAGACACTGATAGAAGTCACAAGACTGCTATATACAGCTGTTGAGAAAAAGTATTTATATCAGTTTATATTTAGTAAAATATATGCATTTTTATGTTCTGTGTACCGTGAAAGACCGGATTTAGTGAATGCAGGGTCATGGGTTTAGTAACACTTAAAGGAAAGTGAAACTAAAATATATCCTTATTTTTAAAAAATATTCCATATGCATCCACTAATGGCCTTGTAATCTGGGTTTTTTTTTTTTCCATGAAATGGTTTTTTAACGGCTTTTTTTTTTTGCCTTCTTGTAAAATCCTTGTAACCTCTCCTTTTCCCCTCACCTCCGCTTGTTTGAAATGAGCAGTACATGTTATCTGCAGTCCTGTGCCCTGCTCTATGCACAGTATACATTTCATAGTCCCCCTAGTCCATTTTGGGACTGGCTATGCTCTCACTTACAGTGGGACCATGGAGAACACATGTAGCCAACCTCTAACAGGAAATTGTATTGCAGCAGCAAAAAAAAAAATTGGAGGAAGATGAGAGTAATAGAAAGTCTTTTTGAGTTAAAAATACATACCTGAATAGGATATATTTTTTAAAAGCAGTTTAATGTCACTTAATATCCTAATCTTTCCACCAGTAACATTCCTAAAATTATGTGTAAAGATGCTAAGCTCTCAAATTCTCAATGAAATCCAAGAGACTATCAAAGCCCTCACGGGCAGCAAATCCCCAGACCTGGAGAGCCTTTTCCTACTTTTCCTACAAAACCTTTCAACACATCTTAACCTCACATATGTGCAACCTCTTACTAGCTTTATCTGTGGCCAACCCGTCCCACATCTGTAACACATTCATACATTACAGTTATTCTGAAAAAAGGAAAAGACATCTTGCATAAAATGTGTGCATTTATTATTTTTTTGCTGAAAGGTGAAATTATCCTTTAAGGCAGTTCTGAAGGCAAAAGCAAGTTCAACCCAGTACTAGCAAGGTGCACCTAATAAAGTGGCCGATGAGTGTAAATTCAAAACAATTAACACTTTTGTATGGCGCTTACAAGTGCTCTGTGCAAAATGCTAATAATATCATTCTATAAATACCACATAACCATACTAACTAGCTTTAAAGTGTCACATAAATAGTAAAGGGTATATAATGCCAAGGGTATACTTCTAAAAGCATAAACCTTAAAAAAAAGTACATAAGTATAAATACTTCCTGTGCAATATATAAATGATCAAAAATATAATTGCTGTTGTGCAGTCTTCCTTCTAATGTATATAAAACATCCATATAAAGTCCCACTACAAACAGTTTCATATAAGATTGTGCCAATTAAAGTGACTTGTGCCAAATAACTTCATTATCTTCCAGCAGTGTGCAAACACTCTTGTCTCCCCTCCTTCGCCACCACACTCACCGAATTGTAATTGTAATGAGTATAAGAAGATCTCAAGTGCTTTAATATGGGTACTCTTCCCTTTCCTGGGTCCAGTGTCACTGCTCTTGCAGGATGCTTTACCGCTAGTATCCTCCCGGTGTACATCCATGTAAGGGGAAAAACAAAGCCAGAGGCAGCCTTCAATAGAAGTCTTCTTCCTACTTCCTGTTGGTGGAACACAGATGGTTACAGGAAGTTGCTTATGTGTTGTTGCTTGTATACTATGCGAGCATTTTAACACTAAGTGCATTTTACACGTATATACTGCATAAATTGACTGCACTATATAAGTACCTGCAATAAATAAATGTAAATGAAGAATCCCCTATGGGACTTTAATATAGCAACCATATCATTACACATATACTCAAAAAAACTTTTTAAAACATATGCTTTTATTACCTAGACATACTTGTGAAAGATACATAATCTTTAAAAAAAGATACATTAGCTCTGATGGATATTGATGGAAGTCCTACTCTATAGCTCCATTGTCTCCTCCTACCATGCTCGTCTCCAGGACTTCTCCAGAGCCTCCCCCATCCTCTGGAACTCTCTACCCCAATTTATCAGACTATCGCCTACTCTGCTCACTTTTAGGCGATTTCTGAAAACCTATCTCTTCAGGGAAGCCTATGCTGCCTTCAGTTAATAATGGAATCTTCTATTCCTCCTACCAGTCCATTCCCTCACAGTTATTACCTTTTGTACCACTAGCCCCTCCCTCCTAGATTGTAATCGCCAATGAGCAAGGCCCTATTTGACCCTCTTGTATTGAACTGTATTGTTTCTGTATTGTCTACCGTTATATTGTAAAGTGCTGAGCAAACTGTTGGCGCTTTATAAATCCTGTATAATAATAATAATATTTGTAATGACATGGTTGCTGCATTAAAGTCCTATAGGGGGATACTTCATTTACATTTATATTTGGGGACGAGCAGCTAGATCAGGGGTGGGCAAACTTTTTGACTTGAGGGCCGCAATGGGTTCATATATTGGACCCGGGGGCCGAACCAAGAGTAGATGAATGATGTGTATGTGTCATCCATAGTAAGTATAGTAATATTCCCCCATAGTAAGCATAGTAATTAATCCCCCATATAGTAATTCATCCCCCATAGTAATTCATCCCCCATATAGTAATTCATCCCCCATATAGTAATTCATCCCCCATATAGTAATTCATCCCCCATATAGTAATTCATCCCCCATAGTAATTCATCCCCCATAGTAATTCATCCCCCACAGTAATTCATCCCCCATATAGTAATTCATCCCCCATATAGTAATTCATCCCCCATATAGTAAATTCATCCCCCATATAGTAATTCATCCCCCATAGTAATTCATCCCCTATATAGTAATTCATCCCCCCATATAGTAATTCATCCCCCATAGTAATTCATCCCCCATATAGTAATTCATCCCCCATATAGGAATTCATCCCCCATATTAAGTCCCCCCTGTGTCAATTCACTTACCTTTGCTCCGCGCGTTCCTCTCGCCCTGTTCCCGCGCCGTTCCGGTGTAGCATGAAAATCTGTCTCCTATGAGGATCTGTCCCCCTCGACGTATCTGCGCATGTGCCAGTTTCAGGCATTAGCAGCCGATCGGCGATCTCCGGCAC